ACTTTAAGAATCCCTTGCTTCTTGAATTATGGAATCTTCATGTTTTCCTTTGAACGTTTCTTGGGTTGCCTTTCATAGTGTGATCCAAGATCCCTTTGGAAATGTATACCTGCCTCAGGAGGAGCCAAGAGTCATCCTTTAGCACTTCTTGGCTTGTGGGTCAGCTGAGAGAAAATGTGTTCATTGGGGTTTATCTGTAAATATCTTTATTTTCTCTCATTTAAAAGACATATTTTGGGGATCCAGTGCAGTAACCTAGTGGCTAAAGTCCTTGCATTGCACGTGCTGGGATCCCCTTGGGGCACCAGTTTGCGTCCTGCCTACTCCACTCCCCATCCAGCTCCCTGCTTGTGGCCTGGGAAAGCAGTCGAGGACGGCCCAAAGCCTTGGGACCCTGCGCCTGCATAGGAAACCTGGAAGAAGCTCCTGGCTCCTGGCTCCGGATCGGCTCAGCTCCGGCGATGTGGCCATTTGGGGAGTGAATAAGTGGATAGAAGCTATTTCCCTCTTTGTCTCTCCCTCGCTGTAAAATCTGCCTTTTAAATAAAAATAGAAAAATCTTTTTTAAAAAAATAAGTCCATTCTTTTCTTTTCTTTTTGAAAGATTTATTTATTTATTGGAAAGTCGGATATACAGAGAGGAGGAGAGACAGAGAGGAAGATCTTCCATCCGATGATTCACTCCCCAAGTGACCGCAACGGCCGATGCTATGCCGATCCAAAGCCAGGAGCCAGGAACTTCTTCCAGGTCTCCCACACGGGTGCAGGGTCCCAAAGCTTTGGGCCGTCCTCGACTGCCCTCCCAGGCCACAAGCAGGGAGCTGGAAGGGAAGCGGGGCTGCCGGGATTAGAACCGGCGCCCATATGGGGTCCCGGTGAGTTCAAGGTGAGGACTTCAGCCGCTAGGCTAGCGCCGCCAGGCCCAAATAAGTCCATTTTTAAGCAAACGGGATTCCAGATTGGCAGTTACTTTGTGTCTGGCTCCCTGACGGGATGCTCGCTGAGTCCCCCCCGCCTCAGTCACTTCTGCCGAGGACACTCAGCTGACCAGTTGCAGGACTGGAGGGCCAGGTTTCTTATTCTCCAGCTGTTTCCAAGAGCTCATCACCCTTTTGTAGATCATGAGAATACGATTCTGTTGGTTGGTTGTTTCTTTTTTTCTGATGACACTTGGGTTGTCTTTTGTCAGTGCTGAAAGTTTCCCAGCTGTTACATTTTCAGGAACTTTCCATGACTCATTCTCTTCCCTTGCATAATTCTGATAACATCTTAAAACCATTATTGTACCCTTCAGTCTCTTAACCTGTTTCTTATTTTCCAGCTCTTTATTCTGGGCTAGTCTGGTCATTTCTTCAGAATTATAAACAGGTTTAGAAAGAACAAAACAGAGCAATTAGACAGGAGAAGTGTGAGAGCGTGGCTGTAGCTGTGGCATAACAGGTTGGTTCCCACCTTCTGGTGCTGGCGTCCCATATTATGGGTGCCAGTTCAAGTCCTGGCTGCTCCACTTCCAATCCTACTCACTGCTTATGGCCTGGGAAAGCAGCGGACGATGGATGGCCCAAGTGCTTGGACGCCTACACCCATGTGGGAGACACAGGGCAATCTCCTGGTTTCCAATTTTGGAACAGCCCAGCCTCTGGCTGTTGTGGTCATTTGGGGGTTGAACCAGCAGATGCAAAACCTTCTCTCTGTCTCTTCTCTCTTTGTAAAATCTACCTTTCCAATAAAAACAAATCTGCTAAAAAATAATAATAATAATAATAATAATAAATTAGAAAATGTGAGAGACAAAGAACCATTTTCCGTTTCTTTCTCAAATGCCCACAACAGCTAGAGATGAACCTGGCTGAGCACCCAGACGCACACACTCCGCCCAGGCCTGGCATGGGGTGGCACAGCATCCAGATGCACACACTCCGCCCAGGCCAGGCACGGGGTGGCAGGGGAATCCAAGTGCCTTCATTTCCTGCCTCCCAGGATACATTGGCAGGAAGCTGGGATGAGGTGCCCATGTCTCGAGGGATGGCTTATCCACTTGCGCCATAAGACCTACCCCAGTGACCGGGTTTTATAAGCCCAACGATGGATGTGGCTTAACAGAAGATCTGACCTTTTAAAGGGGAGTTTTAGAACTAGAATACAGACCAGCCTGTTTGCTTCTGTTGGGTGTTTCCGGGCAGTGCCAGCTCAGGTTCACGTACGACAACTTACATGCTCAGAGTAAAGTTGGACCAGTGTGACTAACACTGCCAAGCTTTGTGACGCTTGCTCTTCGTTAATCACCAGGAGTCAATCTTCCCTACCTCCACTGGCACAGTTCTCCCTGGTGCCCTGCCCCCCTGCCTTGGTGAGGTTGAAGTGGAGCTTCTCATCCATGTCCAGGGGGTAGTATGCTGGGGGTGCTCCACTGGATGCCAGCTATACCCACAAAGGTCTCCTGTTCCATGCAGAAGCAGTGGTCTGCACAGCGCCTGCCTGGCTTGTGTGGGCCCACGGTCCCTGCAGCACCCCCTGGCTTGTGTGGGCCCACGGTCCCTGCAGCACCCCCTGGCTTGTGTGGGCCCACGGTCCCTGCAGCAGCCCCTGGCTTGTGTGGGCCCACGGTCCCAGCAGCAGCCCCTGGCTTGTGTGGGCCCACGGTCCCTGCAGCACCCCCTGGCTTGTGTGGGCCCACGGTCCCAGCAGCACCCCCTGGCTTGTGTGGGCCCACGGTCCCAGCAGCAGCCCCTGGCTTGTGTGGGCCCACGGTCCCAGCAGCAGCCCCTGGCTTGTGTGGGCCCACGGTCCCTGCAGCACCCCCTGGCTTGTGTGGGCCTGTGGCCAGTTTGAGTCCCGATTGCTCCACTTCCAATCCATCTCCCTGCTAATGTGCCTGGGAAAGCCGCAGAGGATGGCCCCAATGCTTGTCCCCTGCACCCACGGGCAAGACCTGAAAGAAGCTTCAGGATCCTGGTTTCAGATTGGCCCATTTCAGCCATTTGGGGAGTGAACCAGGGAATGGAAGACATTTCTCTGTCTTTCTGTCTGTGTAAATCTGTCTTTCCATTAAAAAGAAATAAATCTTTAAAGACTGATGGGCTTTGAACCCCCTGGTTGTGGGGCCTTCCCTCATCTGCTGTGTGCTGGGATACTGGCTGAGATGTTCTGGTGACAATGGTGCGTCTGCAGTTGACAGGTGCCGCACGGCAAGCCTGGGTCCACACCCTGAACCATCCAAGCAGTGTGTACCAGAGTGCTGGGGCAGCTCAGTGCTGGGAGTCGTGGGCCTGGGGCACACAGGAGGGACCCCACTCCTCAGCACGGGCAGCTGCCTAACACCTGCAGGCGGCTCAGGGCGCCCTGAATACAGATTTGCAGGTCTGGTGGCACCTGAGAGTGCAGGTCATGACGGGGCCACTGCTGACCTGAACCTGCCACCTGCAGCGCTGCCCCACGCTTGGGGCACACAGATGACCCATCCTGTGGCTTGGCTACGTGAGCCCACAGCCACGGCTCACACCAAGTGATGTGCAGCCCCTGCCTTGGCCATGGCACGTGCCACTTGCAGAGGTAATGACAGGAAAATAACGATGACCTGAAGACCTCAACAGCGGTGTCCCCAATCCAGCAAACAGATGTCCGTGTTTGCCTCATGAACAGCCAAACCCCACAAGGCACCAGAGTAGACAGCAGGTGACTGGACCCAGCGCCCACCTGCTGCTTGGCCACAGGGACAGCAACCAGCTGAATCCTGATTCTCAGCCCCAGAGCGGGGTCTTGCGGGGAACTCAAGTTTTAGACTGTGGCTCGTGCTACCAATGTGAAAAGCCCCCGTGTCATCATGGGCAGCAGTGCCCCGGCCCCAGAGCCCAACACAGACACACACAGGCCACGGGGGGAGCAACATGTTCTTTATTGATGCAAATACGTCCACCGACAGCTGACACCCCGCATTGTATAGTACAGCGTTAGACTCCAAGACTTCATCTCAAAATACCAAAACATCAACGGACTGGGGGTAGGTATCAAATGGGGCAAAAAAAATAAAATAAAATAAAATAAAGCAGCAAACGCAGACACTGTTTCAAGTACAGACTAGAACTGGTGACCCCTGAAGGGCACGCTGACCGGGAAGGCTCCGGGACACGCAGGTACCGAGGAACAGGTCCTGACACGGGATCCCAAAGGCAGACCCCCGAGGATCACGCCTCGCTGCATCTCCAAGATGGCAGCAGGGTGACCTATGCGGCCATTACACGACTGTACAGCTCAAACGTGCAAGCGCTGGTACAAGGGTGGGCTCCCGGTGGGCGGGCACCGCGCCAGCCTCTCCTCAGATGTGACCCTTTGCAGCTGGAACCCCACCCTGGGTCCTGGCCCCGTTATCCCACCTCAAGACTGCTTTGCCCTGTTGGAAGTCAGCCCAGGGTGAGGAGCTGTCATCCGCAAAGCCCCAGGGTTCAGCGCCAGATTCCCAGCGGGCTGGGAGGGTGTGCCTGCTGCAGGGAGGAGGAGATGCGAGCTCCGGCCGTGGGGTTTGCTTCTCTTCACTCCCGTTCCACTGCCCCTGCAGCCCCGCTTGCTTGCTTGAGGCCGTTGCTGATACAAGCCGGAACACGGACAACTGCACGGCTCCCACGCATCCACACGGCCTTAGATGGGTCTCTCCTCTCGGAATCCGGCTGAGCAATCCCTCCGCCCAACACAAATGTGCAGAAAATACCCTGCCAGAGGGCCCCCCACACCGCCACCGCCTCCACCACGCCGGGCCCTCCCCGACCCCAGAAATCCCTGATCAAACAATACGAACATGTAAACTTTGGAAAGCTCGCACTCCAGAGGGGCAGCACGTGAGTCCCGCCGCCCCCTCTGGCAGAGCGTCCCCCCGCCCCAGCGCCCTCTAAGGCACTAACCCGACATCACAGACAAGGACCGCACACTTCGTCCGAGCAGGCCGGGCTCACGTTGGTTTTGGTTGGGTTTTTGGAAAATATTTTTTTGTTTGTTTGTTTGTTTGTTTGTTTTCTTTTTCTTCGTAAGATGTGAAGCATCAAAAGTAGAAAATAAAAATCTACATCTCATTAGAATAAGAGCTTATCATGGACACCATCTCCCATGATACTCTTTCCCCGCCCTTCCCCCAAGCAGGGCCCTGCCCTGTTGTTTAAAAGAAAACAAACAAAAAGAAGAAGAAGAAAAAAAATGTTTCAGTGCCAAAGGCTGATGCGTGAAATAATTACCATTGGTTTCTCCATAAAAGTTATGTACAAAATGGACCCCAACCAGTGAGGCCACTCATCTCAACCCCCAGCCACCCAGAGGAGAACTCAGTAGTTCACGGACCGGTGGTCCCGCGTCTGCAGCCGCTGGTGTCCTCAAGCCCGGTTGAGCAGGGTCGTCCTACAGGAGCATGGGAAACGAGGCAGCAGCAGTCAGGGCCCCCACGAGTGCAGAGGACACACCCAACCCACAACCTGCTCCCTCTCGTGGAAGACCAGGCTGGGGCGGGGAGGCGGTGCTGTGTTGCAGCGGGCTAAGTGGTCCTATTCCACGTGAGTTCAGGCTTGAGTCTTGAGTGCTCCACTTCCCATCCAGCTCCCTGCTAATGGCCTGGGAAAGCAGCGGAGGCTGGCCCAAACGCTAAGGGCCCTATCACCCCCACAAAGAGGCCCTGAAGGAAGCTCTGGGCCCCCTCTGGCTTTGGTCTTGGCTCAGCGCTAGCAGCCAGGGATATCTGAGGAACGAGCCACATCATGGAAGATTCCTCTAATTACGCAAATGTGTCTTTCAAATAAGTACGTTTTAAAAATAAATGCAGGTCTTTGCCCCAACCACCCCCACCTCCCAGCCTTCTCCGTGTCCAACAGGCTTGGGGGTCTCTGGCATCTACTAACCTGAGGGTTCCCAGCAGGTCCACGGTCCTCATCCCCCCAGCCCTCCTCCCCACCTGCCAAGCTCAGGGTTCCTGGCATTCGCTAACCTGAGGGTCTTCCAGCTGTCCTTTTCCATGTGGTTGTCAGGGCCTTCACTCTCAAACGAGGCAATGAAGAGACCTGGGAGACGGAAAAGCCCATCATCTCTCACACCCCACTGTGCCTAGGACAAGGGGTCTGTGTGCGGCTCCCAGCTGCTTCTCCCGGAGCCCCAGGCCTTCCCTGTGCCCAGCTCCTGGGTGCTCCCTGGGGTCCAGCTGGTCTTCCTTGGGTTAGGCCCCAGTACCCACAGGCTGAGCCAGCTGCTGGGACCACCGTGAGCAGGTGCTGGGACCACCGTGAGCAGGTGCTGGGGCCGCCATGAGCAGGTGCTGGAGCTGCCATGAGCAGCTGCTGGGACCACCGTGAGCAGGTGCTGGGGCCACTGTGAGTAGGTGTTGGGACCACCGTGAGCAGGTGCTGGCACCACCATGAGCAGGTGCTGGGACCACCGTGAGCAGGTGCTGGGGTCGCCATGAGCAGGTGCTAGGGCCGCCATGAGCCAGCCCCTGGGACCACCATGAGCAGGTGCTGGGGCCGCCGTGAGCAGGTGCTGGGGCCGCACAGGGAGTGGGCATGGTGGTCCTCACCTTCCTCACTGTAGACAGGTGCCGTGAGCAGGTAACTCTGAATCTTCTTGTCCTTCTCGAAGGGGCACTCTACCTGTGTCCATGTCATGAACTCGTGGATCTGCCTGGAGATCTCCCAGAACTTCTGAAGGTTCAGAGAGTAACAGGACGGTTCCCTGAGTCACAGGAGACTTCCTCCCTCAGGGGCCGGGGATGTTGCGGCTGCATGGCTGACCCAGTGGTCCACCCCTCTGTCCAGCTGTTCCCAGCCCTGGTCTGTCCGGAATGGCCCTTTTCCCTTCCTCCACGGCTATGTAGGCTGTAGCTCCACGGTGTGGATAAACACCAGGTGAACGCCCCCACCCCCCACATCCCCTGCACCACGCAAGCATGCGCGCACACACGGGCTCGCCACTGCTCTCACTGTCAGTCCTGAAGCTCCCTCCCCACCTGCAGCCCACGCCCCAGGGACCCCACCTTGAAGTTGATGTGGCCGTTGGGCAGGTGGTTGGTGTGGATCTTATGCAGGAAGTAGATGTCCTTGACGAAGAGGTTGAACACGGGGATGACAATCTTCTCCCTGCTGCTGTTGGCCGTCTGGGACCTCTGCGTGGCCCCCTGCAGGGCAGTGCGGTAATTGCAGAAGTTGCTGGACGGGTCCATGTGGTGCTGCAGGGGAGGGGGAGCACAGGGGGGGTCCTGGTTAGTGTTCAAACCCTGCACCCCTCACACCTGCTCAGGCAGCACCTACGCCATGAGCACAGAGCAGGCAAAGCCCAGAGTAAGATTTTGCAAAACAGAAAAGGATTCCATAGGAGCAGGGTTTAACACAGCAGCTGGGATGCCAGCCTTTGTACCGGCTGAGAGCACCTGGCTCCAGCACCGGGCCTCCGGGAGGTCTCTGAACTCCGGGAGGCAATGACGTAGGCTCCAGAATCAGGTCCTGGCCAGCAGGTGGGAGGTCCAGCTTCGGCCCACCCAGTCTGTGGGCAGCAGGCATTTGGGGGCTGAACCAGTAGGTAGGAGCTCTGTGTGTGTGTGTGTGTGTGTGTGTGTGTGTGTGTGTGTGTGTGTGTGTGTGTGTCTCAAAATAAGCTTACAACTGAGGCAGCTGAGTAAGACAGGGAGAACAGCCAGCCTCCAAGTGATCAGGTGATCCCGGGCTAAGGGCAAGGCGGGCCAGGCCTGGGCCACACTGTCAATTCTCTGTTCTCCAGGGGCAATGCCAGCTCGGTCAGCAGTAGTAGGGGGCCATGGAGAATCTGCCATTGGAGGGTGAGGGCTCAGCCCCTGGGCGTCAGGAGGGAGTGCACACAGCCTCAGTCCTGGGCAGCAGCAGGCAGGGGGTCCCTACCTCCAAGACGTCAAACTTGGCCGTCTTGACTTTGGACCATGTCTTCTTCAGCCGTGCCACTGGACTGAGGTTCATGCCAGCTGCAGGCAACAGCGGGGAGGGGCTGGGGTCAGGGATGGGTGGTGGCCAGCACCCCTGTCTCCATCAAGTGCCCACACACTCACAGATGATGGCCATCATGGAGTTGAAGTTGCCGATGTTGAAGCACTCGCGGGCCACGTCGATAAAGAACTCCAACATACGGGTACGGTGCTTCTTCTTTACCACCTGCAGGGAGGAGGGCAGGGGAGGGAGAGGAAGCAGGGCAGGGGGCCTCAGTGCAGAGCCAGCCAGCAGCCACTGGGCACAGAGGCAACAGGGTCTGGAAGCCCTGCTTCTGAGCTGCGGCGGGCCCAGCAGGTCCGAGAGCCAGGACTGAGCCCGGGGCTTGCCCACAGGAAGACGGAGCCATCTCCTCCCCCCGGGGCCTGCTTGCACTGGCAGAAGCGAGCCTGGCCAGGAGGGGCTTCAGATGTCATGTGAGGAATAACCATGACCGTGACAACAACGGGGACCACAGAAGTTGCAGGTCCTGCCTGATGTCTGCCTGGGGGCTGGGGCAGGAGCCTAGGCAGAGTCAGAGGTGTGGAGGGGCCTCTTACCCGGCACACCTCGGTGGCAACCAGCATGCTCAGGCAGTTGAACCAGTTGTCATAGGCCTCCAGGCTGTAGGTCTTGGTCAGGTCCCCTCGGCACTGGCAGGTACACGGCAGGTCAGAAGGGCCCTCCCAGCATGCATCACTCTGTGAGCATGGTCATCCACTGTCCACCACCCCGCCCGGGGCCAACACCCAGCAGGTGCAGGTGCAGGTCGCCCGGCTCAGTCAGGTGGCACCTGCGGTCACTCACCCGATGGTTGTCCCGGGAGTCCATGTGGCTGATGATCTGCATCAGGTCCTCAGGGTGGATGCTGCTGACCCGTTCCTGGGGACACCGGGAGGGACCGCAAAGGGTGGTGACACAGGGGGCCCTGGGCCACAGGCTTCCCCACTGGCCACAGCAGTCCCCGCCCAGAAAGGATACTGCCCCAGCCCCCCCAGAAAGGATACTGCCCCAGCCCCTCTCAGGCACACAGGGCCGCCAGGCTCCTGCACACCCAGCCCAGGGCACAGGCACCTGATGCCCAGGTGGTCACTTGCAGCTTGACTGGCTGGGGCCATGCAACACTGTGCCAAGAGGGACCCTTTTGGCCACTCCCCCCCACACACCGCCTGCACACGGCAGCACTGACCAGCTCGATGTGGGTCAGCTGCTGGGCCAGCACCAGGGGGTCACAGCACACGCCCAGAATGTCCTTCTGGGCAGCAGGTGGCTTGGCCTTGAGAACGGGCGCTTTGTCGGTGGCTGGCGGCCGGAGCTTCTCCCGCAGCTCCTGGAGTTGGCTCCGGGCAGCCAGGGACAGCAGCAGGCTCTGTGTCATTTGCGCAATGGCCTTCTTTACGGTGCCATTGTCCTACAGGGGGGCGGCCGGGGGGGGGGATAAGCTGAGAGCCCTGGCCCCTCACCACAGGCAGGCTGCTGGGGGCTCTCCCGAAAGCAGGCCTGCAGCAGATCAAGGCCCCCAGGAAACGGCTGCTTCTGACTCCCTGGACAGGGCCAGCCTGGGCTCCCTGGCCTCTCGCTGCTGTGCCCACAGGTGGCGGGGGGACACCCTGGTCCTTGGGCTTCATGTCTCCATCCAAGCACAAGGCAAACGGGAGCCAAGACACTGGATGCAGCTGTCCCAACCTCTCTACAGAGCCCCACTCCAGGCGGTGGCAGGGGCAGGGGGAGGGGCATGGCCATGCTGGGCTACAGGGTCCCTGGGCAGAGGGAGGGGTCAAACGAGGTGCAGTAACCCCCAGGGGAACTGCCCCTGAAGGCAGGCCCCACCCCCACCCAGAGGGAGCCCCCACAGCCTCACCTCGTCACACTGGGTGACACGGTGTGTGATGGCCTTCAACTCGGCCATGGCCTTCTCATCCTGGAAGTCGTAGGGGAAGGCCTCCGTCCACTCCTTCAGCAGCTGCACCACCTTGGCCGAGAAGGACTTGAGCTTGGCCTGGGGCAGGCAGCGGGGGACACAGTGAGGCTCCCCAACCCTCACCCTGAGCCACAAACCAAGTCCAGGACTCTCCTCTGCCCCCTCCTGCTGAGGTCAGCAGGCGCTGGGGAGGGAGTCTGAGGCTGGGCCAGCCCTTACCTTCTCCGGCCCGGCCTCCAGCCTCTGCCTCTGCTCCAGGCAGATCTGCCCGACGCGGGCCAGCAGGTCGTGAGGCGGCATGAAGACCCGGGAGCTCAGCAGGAACGTGAAGATGTAGGTCCTCTGCAGGAGGAGGCGGGCCCAGGGCCGGTCAGGCCACGCCCCCGCCGAGCCACGCCCCTGCCACACTCCCTCATGCCAAGCCCCTGTGTGCCGCGCCCCTCATCCAGCCACGCCCCTTGCCGAGCCACGCCCTTCGAGCCACGCCCTCCCTGCATGCCACGCCCTTGGGTGTCACGCCCCACCCAGCCACGCCCCCGCCGAGCCACGCCCCGCCACACTCCCTCATGCCAAGCCCCTGTGTGCCCGCCCCATCAAGCCACGCCCCTCCTTCCCGCGGTGCCACGCCCCTCGCTCGGCCACGCCCTCTCTCCTCTGCCACGCCCCCTCCCCTTCAGCCCCACCCTCCATGCCTGTCCTGCTTGGTCCGGATCGCTCCCCCTCCCTCTGCTCCACCCAAGACCCACTAAACCCACCCCTGGGTGCTGCGGCCCCCCCACCAGGCCTGCACAGTCCTCCTTGTCCAGTCCATGTGCCAGGACCCAGAGCCAACCTTGCTTCAGACCCTGGCGTGGGCTAGCCTGAGGTCTGAGGGCAGGGTCTCGCCAGCAAGGCGTGGTGAGTTGGGGCCTGTGGGGGCACAGGCAGATCGGTGGGGTGCGTGTGGTTGGTGGGGTGCAGCCTGGTGGGGTCAGAAGTGGCTCTCTCTGTCCCCACCACCTCCTGGGAAGCAAGTGGCCCTTCTTGGGTTGACACCGGGGGCAGGCAGGGGCAGGTGTTCTTCCTGTGCCCCACAAGGCAGGGTCTCGGATGAGACACCACCACTCTGCCTGCGGCTTCCTCAGGGCCTCCTGGTTCCTGCTGGTGGCTCTGTCCCCCTCTGCACTCCCAGTACCAGCCCTAGCCAGGCCCTGGCAGACACAGGGCAGGGAGGAGCGGACAGTGCCATGGCCAGTCTCTCCTTCCCGGAGCCTTGGGAGAGTTGGTGCAGGGAGACCTGACTGGCTGGGGGAGCCTGCAGCACACTGTTGCTAGGAGACGGCAGCCACGGTGACCAGGGGACGCCTACTCTGCAGATGGCAGAGGCTGCAGGTGAAGAGGGCGCCGTGGGCTCCAGGACCCCGAGTGCCAGCCCTGTCCCAGGCCCCTGTGTGTCTCTCAGCTTCCCACCTCCACCTGCCTGGCAGGGGTCCTGCTGACACCCCTGTCCCCCACACAGCCTCCTGTGTAGGAGTGGATGAACGATCATACAGGATGTGTGTGCCTGGCCCTGCCCCCTGCCCACGCGCAAACCCCACACTCACATCAGGATAGTAGTCCACTGTGGGCACGAGGTGTTCCATGAGGGCCTCCAGGGACCCAGAGATGAGGCGTCCGTCTTGGAAGATGAGCTCCCCGGAGCCACCGCCAGCCCCACCGCCCCGCTCTCCCATGCTGGGCTGCACCTGTCCACTACAGCTGGGCCCGAGGATGCTGGAGAAGACCACGGCCGTCTGGGGCATAGCTTCCTGGGGGAGGAACAGGAGGAAGAGGCCATGAATCCCCAGAGGCTCGCAGAGAGATGCAGGGTGCAGGCCCCGTGGGGGGCACCCATGCCCAAGGCAGGACAGAGGAGTGTACCAGCGCTGTGCCCATCTTCCTGGAGATACACCTGAGGGGACATGGGGTGGGGGACTGCCTTCTCATGCCAAGAGAGCCTTTATTCAGAGAGCAGTGGACAGGACCCCCATGCATTTCCCACAGGGGAGGGGAAGCGGAGGGCAAACACAGCCCTGGCCATTCAGACAGCCCCTTCTGGCTTCTGTTCCTTGCACCATGCAAAGAAGCAACCAAGAGGGCCCGGCGCGGTGGTGCAGTGATTAAGTCCTCGCCTTGCACGCCCGGGATCCCATATGGGCGCCGGTTCTAATCCCAGCAGCCCCGCTTCCCTTCCAGCTCCCTGCTTGTGGCCTGGGAAAGCAGTCGAGGACGGCCCAAAGCCTTGGGACCCTGCACCCGCGTGTGGGAGACCCGGAAGAATTTCCTGGCTTTGGGTCGGCATAGCATCGGCCGTTGTGCTCACTTGGGGAGTGAATTATCAGACGGAAGATCTTCCTCTCTGTCTCTCCTCTCTGTATATCCGCCTTTCCAATAAAAATAAAAGTAAAAATAAATCTTTAAAAAAAAAAAAGAAGCAACCAAGAGAGGGGCACCCACCAGCCACTGCATGCAACCACCTTGGCCTTCAACCCCAACCCCGCTCCTGCAAGGCTTCTGTGGACAGCTTGCAAGCTGCAGGAAAGTGACCAGGACAAGACTAGGCGGTCAGCCCAGCCCCTGGCTTGGCGCTGTCATCTCTCCCCCCCGACAGCCTCCTGTGTGGGTTACAATGCACATTCTCGGGCCCACCCTCGGCCGGATGCCTGAGAAACTCAGCGGTCTGCCAACAGCTGAACTCAACCAAGGAGACCCTGGGATGTCAAGTCCAGTCCAGATGTCTGCCTCCAGGAAGCCTCTCTGGGTTGATCCCAGACTGCTGGCCCACACGGCTGGGAGGAGCTGTGCCATTTGCCTTTGAGTCTACCTGCCAGCCCAGAATAGGATGGCAAAAAGCCAAGTTGGGTGGGCTCCTGGGCCTGTCACCAACCATAGCCACGCAGGCCAAGATGACATTTCCAGGCCACTGGCCTCTTCTACCACTGCTCTAACACAGACACAGCACCCTCTGCCCAGGACAAGGCCCCCTTCGGTCCAGCCTGCAGGGAGACCAGGAGCAAGCCCTGCTGGACCCTAACCCACTGCCATGCTGCAGAGGAGGGGCTGAGCCTGGTCACATCTGAGGGTAGGGGCTAGGGTGGAACAGTAGGGCTGCCCAAGGCAGACAGGCCTTCATGGGGGATCAGCAGAGCCCACAGAGGCCTGACTCCAGAGGCAGAGGTGTGGACCAGTAGTATGAGTCAGCCGGATAAATCACCCCCCTGAAGTGCCAGTATCCCTTACAGGTGCTGGTTCTAGTCCCAGCTACTCCTGGGAAAGCAGCAGGAGATGGCCCAAGCTGGGAGACCCACACGGAGAAAGCTCCCAGCTCCTGCCTTCAAACCAGTCCAGCTCTGACTGTTGTGGCCATTTGGAGAGTGAACCAATGGATGGAAGATACCTGTCTCTTTCTCTCTCTCTCTCTCTCTCTCTTGCTTGCTCTCTCCCTCCCTCTTCTCTCTCTCTCTCTCTCTCGTATGAACCAAGTCACTAACAATAAAAACCTGAAGGCATGACCCCACAGCTGTGTGCCCATGCCCCCACATCAGGGCTGGGCACTGGTGCTCTCGAACCCCTGCCCTGGGAGCCAGCACACGGCAACAGCACCAGCCGATGCAACAGCACCCTGGATGACACTCAGTACTGTACCAGAGCTGATGCTGGGTGCTGTGCTGAGTACCCTCCCAGTGTCCCTCCCCCAGACACCCAGTCACTCTCCCACACTGCAGGTAAGGACGAGGCCCAGCTGGGAGGGGCCAGGATGAAGCCCCCTGCGGCTTGCCAACATTCCCCTAACTCCAGAGCCTCCGTACCCTCAACTGTCCAATGGATTCGGGGGGGGGGGGTGGCCAATGAGCCCCTGGCAGAAGGTGCTAGATCAATGCCCGCCAGCAAGGTTGCCTGAGCATCCCAATCCGCCCTCCCCCCGCCCCCCGCCAGCCACAGGGATGCCCAGGACACAGAGGCGCCTGTGAGTCCGAACCCACACGAATGCTTCAAAACCAGGACTGCTACCAGGCAGCAGCTGAACTGGCCAGGGGCCCAGGCATCCCGGCTGCTAGTGCCCCCCGCAGGATCTCCAGGCAGTCCTGGTCACTGAAAGGCAGGACCAGGCCAGGCCTCCCGCTGGGTGAGACTGCAGGTGCCTGAGGCTCCAGGCACTCGCCCCCTTCCAGGTGCACTGTGCCCGCTGCGCCTGCCCATGCGTGGCTGCACACACCGGTCACCCACAGGTTTTCTAGCTCCCGCCCCCGCGAATCCAGGTAAACTGGTCATGGTGGGGGTGGGGAGGTGTGGCGCAGCCCCAGCACCGGCAGTTTTCCAGTGGTCCAAGCGCAAACGGGGAGCAGGAGGTGCAGGGAGCCCGTCCTGCCTCAGCTGCACACAGACCCCTTACCCAGGCTACTCCGGGCTAGGAAGGAGTGGGGTGGGGCCAGACACTGTAAGGCCAGAGGAGAAGCCTGCAGGGACCCTCACTCTCGGGGCCCCAAAGTCTGGCTGGGGGAGGGGAGCACAGCCTTGCAGGCAGGCAGCCTCCTGTCAACTCAGCTCCTTTGCAGCTGCTGCCCAGTTCAGACAGGAAGGCAAACACCTTCTAATTATAGACCTAATCGGCTCAGAAAAAAAATGTGCTCACCGACCGACCAAGAGGCGGGTGTGAGTGACTCACACCGCCTCCTTCGAGACGAGGCCCCCATAGCTAGCTCCCCACACCCGTGAGGAGCTGGGGGACGGGGTGACGCGGCGGGGCAGGGGGAAGGTGAGGGCAGTCCAGGGACCCAGGCTGAGAGAGAGCCCTCCTGACCTGCTTGTGAGACAGCCTGGCACCACGCCTGAGACCCTGGAACCAGGTCTTCATGTCCTGGCTGCACCTTGCAGGTGGGGCCTCAGGATACCGAGCCCGCCACACCCCCTGCCCTGCACAGCCCCGGCTGGCCGGAAGTGAGGTGGCCAGAGCAAGGAGGTGTAAGGACTTCTTATCCCTGCAGCCCTTCCCGCGGTGCCCCCACCCACCTCTCTGCCCGAGGTGCCCCAATCTGGCATCTGTGCTGTCATCTGCCAGAGGGCATTCCCACCTGCCACCCTCTGCCTGGACCCAAGTAGGTCACATACACACAGGTGCATGCGCCCCTATATCCTCCCTCCATCCTGTGGGTCCTGCCTGCCTCCTGTAGCAACCAGGGCCCCCAAGGCCAAGGGGGAGGGAAGCCTCACAAGGCTGGCACAGCTGCGATGTTCACCCCACGCTCACACCCACCCACAACCCTGCCCGCTCTCTCACTCGCCGCTGAACCCCAGCTTGGGGATTCCAGACAAGAAAGGGCTATCAAGTGTGGGGGGTCCTGCTCCCAACACCATGTTGAGGCCTACCCTGGGGAAGGGGTGACCAGGGAACACCCCCCAGTGCACAGTCAAGATCGCGGGACCCCCTCCCTGCCTCGGCACCTACAGTCTGTCCTTCTGGAAGTTTCTGAGAAAGGCAGCCACGTGGACAAGCTTTCTCTAACTCGTGGTGTTTCAAACGGCTACCACAGGCATCCATGGCTGAGCCGCGAGCTGGGCGCTCAGATGCTGGAAACGCCCACTTCTCACTGAGGCTCACTCTTGTTCAGGCTGGGGCACCCACCCCACCGAGTGCTCCTAGGGCAAGAGGCAGGGGGCAAAACCCACCCCCACCCCCAGGCACAGGAGATGCTGCCGACTGCCTAAGATTCCAGGAAACCTCCGGGAGGTGGAGGAGGGGATGTGCCAGCCCCTCCCCCCAAGCCACCCCACTCCTGCCAGGCTTGGCAACGGGGGTTCTTTGCCAGGCAGCATGCCCGCATGGGATTCTATTTTTTAACCTACTCAACAAAAAAAAAACGAGACTATTTTTAGCCCAGCAAGCTGCTGGGCATCACAATTAGCCACTGAAAATTACACATCCCGCCAGTCTCCCTCTGCAGGCTGCGGAAGGGTTGCGGAGAGAGTGGTCCCGTGTGGGTGGGCTGTGGGGGTGGTGGATGGGGGAAGAGATGGTGACAGCCCCGAGCTCCCACTCTCCTGGGCCACAAAATCCAGAGGGCCCTTGGAGGAGCTGCAGCCAGGACAGAGCTGTAGAAGTGCCCAGAACCCAGCCGAATGCCAGCCCAGGTCACAGGGAGCCACCTCTGCCGAGTGCCACCCCCTGCCCTGCCCACCCGCTTCAGGCTCGCAGGGCAGGGCAGAGGGCAGGCACAGGAGGAAGCAGCCCTGGGCTGGGGGCCTCACTTTCACATGGCTCTTGATAAACCCTGGCTGGCTCCGAGGTTTTGCCTCTGAGGGTTTCGAGCCACCCTGGGAGGGAGTCAGTTAGGGCTAACCAGGGCCAGGGAAGACCCTCTCAGCCCCCTAATCCTCGACCCCAGGCAGCTGGCAGTAGCCCAGCCCTCTGGAACTCAGAAACTCCAAACTGGAACTAAGAACCTGTATGCTGGGGTTGGCAAGGCAGGTGAGCCTGAGGGGCTCACCCCACCTTGGGGTGAAGCCAGAGGCCCGTTTGGGATAGCAGGGGTGAGGGGTGAGGGCTTCTGGGCCTCCTGCTTGGAGAGCAGCTCCAGGGATGGCCAGCGGCCCTGCACCTGCGCTTCCTGCACAGGAGGCCAGCTCCACCCTCCTGCCCACGTCACATCCCTTCTGGTCCCCGGGTCCTGGGTTCACAGATCAGAAAACATTGGTCAGACACAGAAGTATCATTCACCACGGCCTGGGGTGCACCTGCATTGGCAGAGGGGGATGCAGGGACTTTTGGTGGCCACAAACA